CTCCCCATGGTACAAAACAGCATCTGAGAAACACAAGAATGTTGTGGATTATGTTAATAATTTATGTCCTTAAACATCTTTCTTAAAAATATGGACATCTTTGATTATCCTCCTCTGGGGTAGCTCAGCCAGTATAATGACTGACTATGGACTCGATGACCAGGGTTCAATCCCCAACAAGGGCAAAAGATTTTTCCTCCACACTCTGTGTCAGGACTGGCTCTGCGGCATACCCAGCCTCCTGTCCAATGGGTACCAGCGCCCTTTCCTGGGGGTAAAGCGTGACTGGGGTGTGATGCTGACCACTCACCCCTATCTAGTGCTGAGATTAAGCAAGTACCTACATGGTGAACAGCAGGATAGCTTTACTTTTTTCCCCTAAGATCTACTCTACTAACCTTATTTTGGATGGAGAGGAATGGTTATGGTGTATGTGTGATGAGTCATCTCCCTGATGACGGAAGCAATAAGCATGTCTGAAATGTCAGTTTCAATCATCTAGTTGGTCTTCAGTGTCCTCCTGATATCCACTTAAATGCAGACATTCTTAAAAATTAGGGCGGGTCAGGCTGTTTATGCCAATTGTATAACTAACAGTATCTGCCTATATCATGGGCAGCCCTGTTTGGGTACCCATTCATCTGGGTGAGTCTTGGAATGTCTACCTGAGATCTCATAAAACACTAGCCTGTTACATGGCAAAATTCTACCAGACTACACACTGCAACATCCCATGTTTGTCAATTTCTTGTCGTATGGTGAGCTTTTTTTTCCTTAAGGAAAGTCTTTCTTTCCTTTTGTGTTGTCATAAAATACACACATTTAAATAAAACAACTGCAGTATACAAAGCACACTCAGACAACAGATTAAATAATAATAATAGCAGCTAACTTGTAAAAATCACACATTGAAAGGCACAACAACTCTTGCAAGATGGCAACCAATTTCATTTGAGCAGCCAACAGTTTAAAACAAACTTCACCTGTCTCTTTCTCTCTCACTTGACAGAAAAAAACACAAAATTGCATGAAACCCAGGAAATTAAAATGAAACTACACACATTCCAGAAACCTAAATACGAGGTTTCACTGCATTGGGGTTTGCACATCTTCACTGTCCAGTTTCACGTCCAATGTAACATCTAATGTTTAATGTTAAATTCTGTGTAAAATGATGTTCCCCCCAACCAGCTATATGTGAAATACCTTTGGTCTTAGGATCATCCTTCTTGATGCGCACAATATCCATAAGTCGTTGAATCAAGTCCTGCACATGCTCACAGCATTTGACAGGATTCTTAACAAAGTCTAGTGCAGTGGAGATGCTGAGTGCATTTCCAGGATTAATCTTCTCACGATCCTCTGCTGTGAAATCCCGATCCTGTTGCATCAATTCATGAAGGCGTGACTTTGCCCTGCACAAAACATGAACCATAACACAGACAAGATTCAACTCTATCTCACAAAGTAAGAGTTAAGACAACTTCTTAAGTTTTTTTTTATAAAGTGATAACACTTTACATTTACAAATATTTCCTGTTCATCAAGAAACTGATTTCAGTGACTTCTTTGATAACAGAACATTACAAATCACCAATAACATGAAAGCCCACAATTATACAATATGTACTCTAAACAGTTCATTCCATTCCACAATATCTATTTTAATGCTATACTTGAATTTTCATCTGTACTGTCCAAAAGATAACCTAAAAAAGTTACTGTATACATTCAGATAAAAAAAAAAATTTATGGTGAAGGATAGCCATTCTTAGAGGACCAGCTCTAGTTGCCTACAGCTGCACATTCAACATATTCCTAGCACTGTCAATCCTAACCTTTTGTTACCTGGTGAATTCAAATTCCTTTAGGGTCTTCATGACCATATCAGAGCTAATCTCCAAGGAGGCACAAACATGCTGAACAATATAATCAACTACTTGGTGCACAATTTCCCTGCCTTTTCCACAACACAAATATTTCTTAAAATGACAATATATAAACATTACGGTCACAGTTACAGATTATAAAGAACTGTAATAATGTGCAAAATACATATTACTGTTGCTAGTAACAAGATTATAACTTTTGTTAGAAGACTTTTTCTGTTATATTACTTTCTATTCCTCATTGACCGCTATAAAGTAGAAAAAATCCTACAACAAAATTAAAATCCTGTTTTTCACTATGAAATTCACAATTTTAAGGATTTTAGATTCACATATATTTAGTACTAGGAGAAATCATAAAAAACTCTACAGAGCAAAGGAGGAAAATTACATTCACTTAGTATCAGTTAATTAAATTAATAAGATACAATTATTTATAATAAATCTAGGTCTCAATTGCAGCTGATCTAATAATGAAACACTTGGATACCACATTATTCAAGGTCTATGTTTGGTAGAATGTACTTGCATCTGATACTTACATGTTTTGGTACTTGCTAGAGTCACAATCATTGTAAAGCAGTCCATTTGTGTTAGCAGATTTCACCATCTGCACCAGGATAGGAGTCAGCTCTCCCTCCAAAGCCAACAAACCCTTTGAAAATGCTGCTGCCGTCATTTGGACATGGCCCTCATCCGAGGCATATATTTTGAGGTCATGACGGAATGTGGAGTGAAGGCGGAGAAGACCCAGACCTTGTGTGCCAGCATATTCACCTGTATCAGATGCAGTCAATGGATATGCTACGATAATAAATCAATAAGACCTACAAAATTCATGAAATCACAGAAAATAAGGCCAGGAATGGCAAAGATCTGATTTTGAGTCAATGACAACCAATCACACTATAAACACTGCCTGTTAAACCTGCAAAAATGCAATTTCCAGTAGAGTGGTTGCAAAATATCCGAGGGCGACAAATGTAAAAACAAGACAGCGAGAGACCCAGACTTCAAAAGAGTCCATCTCCCAAATTCTGCTTACTGATCACAATAGTATTGGTTTGTATGACAAACTGCTGAATTACTGTCAATATTTGTTGAACCTAGTGTTCTCTTGATTGACTGAAACTGAACAACATACGCACAGGTATATAGTGCAGATACAGAACTGTCTTCATTGCCTTCTTGCATGTAGTAGCGTTGTAATCCAGCAGCAAATTTTCTGGAATTCTGGTTATTCATTCGCTGAAGCTCAGGTGTGTCGTCCTCATCACTTTCCTGGTCTTTTGGTGTTTTGCTGCAATTTGTTCAACAACTGCGTCTTCATAATCTTCATTTTCATTGTAACACTGAAGAATATTGTCAATACATCCACACTCTTTGTAGTTTCTGATGTGTTGCACTTCCAAAATGGCGTCATTTTCACTATTGGTCATATCTGGCATCTCCAAGCCTGAATGCTTAAAACCACAGTGAGCAATGCAATTCTGAATGGTCCTGCTACTTATTGTTGCAAGCAGAATCGATACACTGTCTGAATATGCATGTGTTCATTACTGAGTGAATCAGCGATGACTCACTGACTCCTCCATGCCACAAGCGCACCATCTAGCACTCACTGTCCCCATTAAACGGCACGGTGTTCCAATTAAGCGATACTAATTCCGGTTATTTTCTCGATTTGTTTTTCTTCTTTAAGATTTGTCCCAAATAAATGGCTGCCCCGATTAACCGATGGCACAATTACCTGGATTTTAATGTAGTATGCACAACATATTTCCTTTCTTAGGATGGTGACATATACATGGGTGCTGTATCAGGGTTCGACTGTATTTACTATTACTGAAACATCTGCAGTGTCTTTACACAGGAAACTGTAATGCAACACTTTCTAACTAGTTGTGATACATACCATTTACCATGTCATGATAAAATATTTTGTTTATAAGCTGCACCCTAGTATTATGGGCATGCAATTTAAAAAATAATTGTGCCTTATATTCTCATACACATGGTTAATATTTTTAGGCTGTTTAATTTTTAAATCATAAAACTAAAAAAACGTAAAGTGTATAAGTGGAACAACAAAGTGTACACTGTAGACAAAATTATAAATCTACATAGCAATGGTAGCAGTAAGCATATTAAGCATAAGCCCAACACTGAATATGGCAATGAGGAAAAGAAGTTGATTAGAAGCAACTGAAATGAGATTCTTTTAAGACCAACTATTTGTATTACAAGAGTAGATGGGTTAAGAAACATATAAGACAGGCAGCAATTTAACAATTACAGTCTACAATACAGTTCACTAAATTACACACATATAAAGGTTATAAACAAACCATCCTATTATGTTCTTAAATATAAACTTAACAGTAAGCAAGAAGTGATGCATAAACTAGAAGTGACCATAAATTAAAAGGACTATGAAGGAAGAATACTACTTCTTCCTCCTCCTCCTCCTCCGTGGTCAACACTCTGGCGATGTGTCAGTTCTCGCTTGGCAAGATAAGAAGCGCATCACCATGATATCAACATATCACAAAGACGATATGCATGTGACAATAAACAAAGCCAAGCGAGATGGTATATTCTTTTATGTCAGTAGCATTCAGAATGAGAAGGTGCAAAGGACACATGTAGAAACTCTATGTATTTGGTGTGGGAGTTGAGGTTTTTACAACAATGACATTAATGATGACATTCTTTTGAGTTTTGGACTAGACTGTGTGAACTGGTCACTAGATGCCAACATTTTGGAGAACATACTGTTCCCATCTTTAGGGCTGAATTGACAGTGCTGAGAATCAGAGGGATTATGTAGGGTGGCAAGAAGAGGTCTGAAGGGATGGGCCATTTGGGATGGAGTGAGGTGGAGATTGAGCTGGATGAACTGGGAGCACACCCCAAACAGGAATCAGAGGAGAGGAGGAAGGCTGACTTCTACCCTCCATCTGCTTCCCCCCCACACCATCTGATGCATAATGGATATGTACTCTTCACCAAGTAATTTTAGGATTATCAAATCAAAAGGATGAGAAATTCATACAAAATTTTGGTTGGAAAGCCTGAATGGAGACCACTCAGAAGATCATTGTGTATGTGGGAGGAAGTATAAAAATGGATTTTAGGTAAATTGGTTTGGAGGTTGTGGATTGTATTCATCTGCCTTAGGATAAAGACAGATGACCTTTTACAAACACAGTAATGAACCTCCAAGTTCCATAAAGGGTGGGGAATTTGGTAACTAGCTGAGCATATTATTGACTTCTCAGGAAGGACCCTGCACAATGAAGTTAACTATTTACATGGAAGCATACTGTATGTGACTGGTGATATGGTATGATGCTGTGCATAAAAATGTGATTCTTCCATTCTCTGCAATTAGTGCTCTTCACTTTAACATGTTTAGGATTGGTTGTAGGAATTATGGTGCCCTGGGAGAACAAAACCCATGGAGGTAACCATGGTAACCCCCAAACTCTTCCCCCTCCAAAAAAAAAGTAAACTGGTTGCAATATTAATGGAGTTATTTCTTATGATATGGCTTTTATGAAACAATAAACAGATAGCAGTGACCAACGATGGAATTAGGGCTTTAGCAGTTATGGTAATAAACACGGCAGTTGTTTGGGGGGGAATGAAGAAAGCCACAAAAACATCAGTCAAGTCCTTCCCAGTGCCATTACAATTTTTAATTGTTAACCTCATTCATCACACTTGATGTCCTCTGATACTGTCC